CCTAAACACCTAAACCCTAAACCTATTGGCAACTTATTCCGACCCCTAAAAATAACTGCCGGGCCTTTAGGCTGAGGCGTTTGAAATGAGTCATCGGGGCTTATGACTGTTTCATCGGTAATAATAGAATCTAGCGTTTGTTAATCTATCCTGGTGGGTTCTCTTCAGGATTTTCGAGGAAATTGGAGCTTTGAGGGTTTGGGGCTGTCGGGTGTCGGTTTACAGCAAACTCCCGCCGGTAGACCTCATCCTACATGTCAAACACTGGTCCCTTCAAACTCCGTAGCAGAGTTTATGGCAAGAATCCTGCAAAACCAGGTTGTGGTAGCTTAAAGTCCAATTAGCACCCGGTCCAGGCTGAGTCTGAGTACAAGCACCCCCCCCCCCCCCCCCCCCGATCCGAAAGTTTCGGGTTTCGGGTTTCGGGTTTAGGATTTAGACTAAGTTTAGGGTTTCGGGGCGTATGGGAACTTTACCGCAGCCCTGCGCTGGCTCTCGGAAGGGACTCCGGAACGCAAAGCCCAGGCAATTTCAGTGCCAGGGACCGAAGCCGAGAGTTGGATTGAAGGCGCAAGCTGAGGACGTGAGTCCAGAAATTGAACCCGAAATTCTACCTCTTCAACCCGAAAATCTCTAAACCCTAAACCCCTCCCTCCAAATCCTGAAGACCTAGGCAAGGGCGACTTCCTGGGGGCTCGGGTTGATCCTTCCTGTGATAACCCCCACGCTTCTTTCTCTGGGTTTCATGGTAAAAATACTTTCGGGTGCAGCAAGCAAGTAGCATTTCAATGAGTGAGTCAAAACGCACATCCTGGCTGTTAGTTACTGTCAGTGAACCCCAAAAACTAAATCCTAAATTATATACTGTTAGTTAGACCCCTGAATAAGCCATCAACCCCAAAAGCTAAACCCTAAATCACATATTCGTGATTTCGGAGCCTGGTGTTCAAGGGCAGCCGGGCGCGCACGCAAACGCCTCAGGGGGATGGGAACAATCCGGTGCATAAGGGCCTTCGGGTTTAAGGTTTAGGTTTACGGCTAGAGTTCCTGCTGCTGGGGTTCCAATTACCAGCAGATTAACAATTTCGGGGTGCAGCAATTGGGGTCAAAGGTTTGAGGCTGGCGGGGGAGTGCGTCCGTCACGCAATGACGATGGACACTAAGCCCTAAACCTCCATGACTTGCAAACCCTAACAGCCCAAACCCGAACAACCAAAACTCCGCCAAGCACGCGAAGAAGCAGGCTCGGGCAGCTAGAGCAAGCAGCAACACAATATGGCCATCGGATTCAGCTGGTTCGGTGTAAGTCTGATAATGCTTAGGGCCGCAGTTCGGGGTTTGGTTGCACTATAGAGGATACAGCCCTTAAAAGGATGCTTGCGGACACTGGCGGGTGAGCACTGAAGCTTGACACTTAAACCCGAGACCCTACTGTAAACCGTTCGACTCCTGATCATTGAAACCGTAACCTCATGCCCAGTAGAGGAATGCGCTTCCGAAAACAAACGAACATATAAGCCCACATACATATACTCTTCGTAATAAGTGTGCATGCATGCGCGCATGTATGGATGTCTGGATCCATTGATGTGTGTGTGTGTGTGTGTAATGATTGGGTTTAAAGTTTGGGGTGTAAGCTCGAAACCAAAGTCTGAACGATTGGGGCCCGTGTTGATCCCAAACCCCACATCGCAAGCTGCACGAATCGGAGACGGCCAAGGTGCGAAAAGGGCCATCTTTGTTTGACCAAGCAATGCGATCTTTCGTGGTGACGGCCGCAGAGTAATACCTCATTATGTTGCTGGTGATGAAAGTCACTCGAGAGGTGTTCGGGGTCGAGGCAACAATGCATCTCGGTAAGTGATTGTTGTCGTTGTGTCCAGGTCATCGCGGTCGTGGTGGCGACAAACCACAGCCGTGACTATGGATTTGTCGCATTCACTGCTACTCGAGGTCTCACTCCTGCGTTTGCTAGCCAGCATTAGCTATTCAGTGTTGCCCAGCCCGGTGCAACAAAGCTGTGTTACTGTTTACTGTCACTGCATGTCTGCAGGTCCCGAAACTCACCTTTCGGCGTTCGTGCTCAGTCTCTTTCGACTACTGAAGAACAAGGACACTGTTTCGGGGCATATTGTTCGCTGACACAGGTACACAGGAATTCTGCACAGGAAGACATCTGTTCTTGGGGCTTCGACATTCCTTGCCATGCCCGGAGACCACGGAGGCTCCCCATTGAACCTCAAGGCACCATCGGCCTCAATTCCAACACTTCGAATGTCTCACGCCGTCCGAGTTTCACTCTGAATCACCTAACAACATGAGATTCGACAGAAGACATGGAACAGGGTTCCTGAAATGCCTGCATCATTGAAGCCCGGAATGAAGCTCATCGAAAATCCACAAAAAGCTACACTCAGAGAGCGCACACACACACACACTGCTGGCGCCTTCTGGCGATTTGCGGGTCGCGCTCAGACTTGAGTTTGAGCTGGCCGTCCTGTATGCCGCAATGCAGGTGGGTGTCCTCGCTTTATCCTTCAAAGTCTGACCCTTAATAAGAGGTCTGTCTGCCGGCCGGCCCATGTGCTGCAATGCCTGTGCCTGCACATACTTGAACACATTTCTTATCGAAAGCCTCAGTCGTACCTCCGCGCCAGGAAGACTAAGCCTCAGGGTCCCGATGAAGAGGATGTTATTGAGAGGTTATTGGAAGCCCACTTATTCCTGGAACGCCCACATCCCCAAAGTAAGTACTACAAAGGCGCTGGTGATTGGAATTGGGTTTTGGGGCATGTTATACTACAACCAAGAAGAGTACTACTACTAAATATTCGACGTCTATTGTACATTCTTGAGCCCCTTGGTTCTCACACTCCCAGAGCCCCCTGGCATCTGAAACCTCGGATTTGCTCCACAACCGGACTTTGAAGTAAACGCTAAACCCTAAACCCTAAACCCCTAAACCCTAAACCGTAGACGGTTATTTCATAAACGGAACAGGTTTCAGAAACCGTATTCAAGCGTGGTGCTCCAGAACCCAGACATCTAAGTTCAGATCCCTAACTAAGCCCTAGAAACCCTGAAAGGAAGCCCAAATTATAGTAGGTTTAGGGTTTAGGGTCTAAGTTCCATAAACCATAAGCCCCGAAACAAAAAGCCCTGGCAAGCGGTCCTGAACTCGGACGTTCTCCTCGCGACACGCGGCACAGCGGCAAGCAGTGATGTTCCTCATGCGATGGGTTTGGAGGCTTTGGGATTGGGGTTTAGGGTGCAATGTAGGGGCCTTAATGATAAGAATAGAGGGTTTTGGTGTATATCATTTTATAACGATAATAAGGAGCCCCCTAAATGGTAGGTATAGTCTAGGTAGATAGTAAGGCCCCTAGATTAGGTTTTAGGGCTTTCGGAGGGATAGGATTTAAGAGGTATGGTTTAGCGGTGAGGGGTTGGGGCCAGCAGGTAAACACTGACTGTGTGCGAGCCACCAGCAACCATGTAAACCAAATTCAACGATCACTGATATTGAACATGAAACCCTGCATGTGCGCTTTCGATCATAGTATCCGCTTTTGCTCCCTACATACTACATAATGTCTACCCTAGGCTACCCCATAAACCTTTTTATGCCGAGGATCCCTAAAGAAAGCTCGCAGGACCCCAGAATCAAGCCGTTTCTTGAGAGCACAATCCTCTTGTTTGGGAGCCGATCTTCAATCCCTCGTCCTCAAGGCCTCAACCCCTAAACCCTAAAACCTTCCCTAAAGCTTGTACCCGCTAGGGTTAGGGTTTCGATGTACTAGCCCTAGCCTCCAGACAGAAATCAAACCCCAATCTGAAACCCTGTCTACAAGACCCGACATCACGGAACCGAAGGTTCTGCGGTGCGGACCCCCGAACTATACCACCAACCAGTATAGGGGCCTTGACAACTACAATACGGCTTTGGTGTATATGATGCTGTAGATATGTAAGGACCTTATCTGAAGCACTTGATGATATGCAGAAGAAGCAGGAGCCTTGCCAGCAGCCAAGGAACAAGCCCGCCACGCCGAAGTTAATGTCCTTGTACCCTCCTGGCACCAGAGGGGCCTATAGGGCCAACAGAAGGGCTTTGATATAACAATATAGATTAGTTAAGTACTTAATCCATTAACATATATATATACATATATGTATAGAAAATTCAGCAGCCCTTTATATCAAAGGCCGAGGATGGATTCTTCATGGACGTGTCCAGATGTTGAAACGGTGCCTAGGATTGCTGATTTAGGGTTTAGGGTCTTTAAGCATGACCTGGCCTGCTGAGTTAGACTGGGCTTCGTGCCCATGGTAGGTTAATTCCTTTGTGCGGGTTACAACCACAAAGCTACCACCGAGCTGTCCTTGGCTGGTCACCATCTGCCAGTAGGTGGGATCCAAACGGTCTCCAATAAAGTCGTCCGACCATTCCAACCTGCGTTTGACTCAACGTGGGCACGCTGGTGCACGGCTCCAGCTTTCTTGAGGGCTCGGGTTTGGGGTTGAGGGTTGAGGGTTGCGGACACAGGTTTTTAGGCCAAGGGTTGTGACGGGTGTTAAGGCGGAATCCTTTTGTGGAGGCAGTATCCAATAAGCTCAAGCAGACTTGTCAAGAGCGTATGGACACTCCTTCTGTCACTCACTCCTGATGAGCAGCATGAGGGAAAACACCACCACCAGAGCATGGAATCCATTTACATGTCTACCCTTCTTCACTTAACCTGTAACCATGTGCCGCCGTAGGCCATTTAGAGTTTGGGGGAAACGAAACTTCCGCTGCTAACGGGACTTCGAAGTAGCAAATCTTGCCGAATTGATATCAACTTCAAGATGCCGTTCCTTCGGAAACGACAGTTTGGCCTCCAGGGCCCCCACTCGCTGCAGAAGGACGAGGCCGTATCAGACGTGTTATCCGGTGGCACCGTGGGTGCAGATGTAGGAGGGATCGGCAAGGGAGGTGGCGACGGAAGCGCAGGCGGCGGTGGTGGTGGCGGTGGAAGTGGCGCGGGAGTGGGAATGGGATTGGGCACAGGCTTTGAGGTAATTGGAGAAACCTGGGCGTTTGCAGTGGGGCTTTCGGAAGCCTGTGATGGGAAGGGCGGCGGTAGGGATGTTCCCGAGGTCGGAGGCACTGGCTTCGCTTCCGCCGCAAGGCCCGCTGATTCATGGGAAGATTGAACCTCCTCTGCAGCGATTGTTGGGAAGACACCTTAGTTTCTGTTCCTCCGCTGCTGTCATGACCAAGCTGCATACTCAAGGCAAGAGGCCTTCCTGTTGCAGGATGACAGTGAGGCCGCAAAGCAGCACGAAGGTCACAGCAGTTTTCTTCATCCCATGCTGCAAAGGCTCCTAAACCCCAGGCAGACACATCACTTTCTACATATCCGCGGGACGTGTTCCAGGCAACAGGTAGCCTGCCATGTTGAGGGCTTGTCTTCTGCAAAGGGTAAGATCTGGAACTGGAGGACAAGAAGGGCTCGGGCAAAGGCTATAAGATCTAGGATTTATGCTTTCGGCTCGCGCAAGCTCTTACTGCCGACTTGAACCCATTGATGCCGACTCTCGCCGGAAAAGGCTGCAGCAAGCGGGCGCACCTGTCGCCAAGACTGTGCCCAAAACCCTACACACTGAAATCCTGACGTCCTCAACCCTGAAACCTAAAACCCTGAAATCCGCAACCCTGAAACCTACAACCCTGAAGTCATAATCAACATGCGAAGCCCGAAAACGTTCAAAGCTAAAACTTCAAACCCCACACCCGACATGCTTTGGACTCCTTGGAAATATTGACATGCTGGATGCACACGACACCCTAAAACCCTAAACCCCTGAAGCCCTGAAGCCCTAAATCCCTAGACCCCTGAAGCCCTAAAACCCTAAACCCCTCAAACCCTAGGGCTGTTGTAGGGTCTTAGGCTTTAGGGCTTAAGGGAACCTTTGGGTAACCCCGGCCTTCCCTGAAGGAACATGGAAGCGGTGCCTGATACGGATAATAACCAAAATGAAGTAATAGTACATAATAAACATGCGAAAAAGACTGGTAACGAAAATGATAATAATAATAATAATAGTGATGACAATAGTGAGGAATATGTGTATGTATGTGTTTGTATGTATATATATATATATACCCTAAACCCTAAACCCTAAACTCTAATATATCTATATACATATTATATATATATACATACATAGTTACATATGTATATATATATACATACATACATACATACATACATACATACATACATACATACATACATACATACATATATATATATACATATATATATATATATATGAATTACGGATATATAGACTCCAGGATGCTGTCGTCGCCGACCCGTGCCGCGCGGCGCGCCAGGGCCACGAGCGGAGGCGTCGGTGCCAGAAGCAGTGCAAAGGCCCAGAGCCTGAACAGAGCAATCGCAGATTGGGGCTTTGGGTTTGGGGTTCAGGGTTTAGGGTTTAAGTCAAGACCAGGGAGGGGACGGGAGGGGAGGGAGGGAGGGAGGGAGAGACAGAGTACATAAGCAAGAACGAAGTCAACTAACTATCTACCCACCCATCCACCCATCCACCCATCCAGCCATCCAGCCATCCAGCCATCCATCCATCCCTCCCTCCCTCCATCCATCCCTCCGTGCATCCATCCATCCATCCATCCATCCATCCATCCGTCCATCCGTGCATCCCTCCAGGTATCTGACTGTCTATATGTTTGTTTATCTGTCTCTCTGTCTATCTATCTGTCTGTCTGTCTGTCTGTCGACCTATCCACCTACCTATCTATCTACATATGTTGCTGGTTGTCTCTCTTTCTGTCTATCGGTCTGTCCATCTACCCTTCTACCTATCTACCTATCTGTCTGTCTATCCATCTATCTATCTATCTATGTACCTACCTACCTACCTACCTACCTACCTACCTACCTACCTGTCTATGGATCTATCTATATATCTATCTATCTATCTATCTATCTATCTGTCTAACCAGCTATCTGTCTATGTATCTGTCTATGTATCTGTCTATCTGTCTATGTATCTATCTATCTATCTATCTATCTATCCATGTATCTATCGATCTGTCTACCTATCTATCTATCTATCTATCTATCTATCGAATTATCTATCTGTCTAACTATCTATCTGTCTGCCCATCTTGTCTACCTAGTTGCGTACATATCTGCTATCTTTCTTTGCATCCATCTGTCTATCTATCTACCCTGCCTGCCTGCATGCCTGCCTGCCTACCTACCTACCTGCTACCGATCCAGCTATCTATCTAGCCACCTACCTCAATGTCTATATTCTATGTGTCGAGCTATCCATATATCTGTCTATCTAGCTGTCTAGCTGTCTGTCTCTGTCTCTCTCTCTCTCTCTGTATATATATATATATGTATATATGTATGTATGTATGTATATATATATATACATGTCTATGTGTCTCTCCACACGAGCATTCAACTATCTATCTGTGTATATGGCTGTCTACCTAAGAAGGGTTTGAATGGGGTCTGAGGATCTCCGGCGTTTCAGGGATCTCATGGGCGTTTGGAAGAGTTTCGGACGAAGGGTTTCGGAATTTTTGAAGACATAGGACATAGGTGAAAACAAGCCCGAAACCCTAAAACCTAAACCTTCAACCCTAAACCCTCAATCCTTAACCCTAAACCATGTACCCTAAACCCTCCTGAAGAACCCTATCACGGCAGCCGCAGACACCAGCGGACGCAGTCATGCCCACAGAGGCTGCGGGAGTGCCTCGGCTAGAAGTACGGTGACCCCTAAACCCTAAACCCTATACCCTAAACCCGACACGGCTGCAACAGCTTTGAGGGCTTGGCAAAAAGGCTGTACATACATACATACATACATACATCCATGCATGCATGCATACATACATACGTGCATACAGTCAGACAGAAAGACGTCCACACATGTGCATGTGCATAATGCGCAACACACAGTACGTACTACATCACACATAATACACAGCACATAGTACATAATTAGTACAACACGCATAAAGCACAAGACATAAGACGTGCACCATCAGGCATGCGACATGACAGGCGACAGAATACATAATCCGGCATACATCATGCATTTTGTTGCATCTTACATAACACACTTACACATACATAGCCACATGCATTGTAGTGTTCTAGCGCACCATGACATCTTTAACCACCAAGATCTGTAGTGGGTAGTGTGCTTCGGCCATATGTATAAGGTTTGCATCTAAAGTCCACGGCGCTCCGCCACCTCAAGCACCAACGACTCGACGAGCGGGTGGCCGGCTAGGTCATCCTCGGCTTTTTCTTTTAAGGATGCCGCGCTTTCCACAAGACCCACATTCAAAGAACAACACTTACGCATTGAGAGAACTCCCTCCCGAGGCACGTGCTGATGCCCCTAGCATATGTTTGTGTGGTTTGGTTGCTCCCATGGCCCTTGGAAGGTTTGAGGATTGATTTTTGGCGAGCTGTTGATATGGCTTCATGCCTACAGCTTAGGACTTCGGGTTTCTTAAAACCTAGGGAAACCACTTTTCGGAGGCTTGCATGCCGACTGAACTCGACAATCTGGTGGGGAGCACATCCTGCGCGAACCTCAACTTGACCCTCCTTGGCCTGGTCCTCACCTCCTCTGTTGCTCAGGGTTTAGGGTTTAGGGGTTTTGGACTTAAGGGGTTTAGGACTTAAGGGGTTTAGGGTTTAGGGGTTTAGGGGTTTAGGGTTTAGGACTTAAGGGGTTTAGGGTTTAGGGGTTAGGGTTTAGGGTTTAGGGTTGGCCCCATAAGCCCGAAGCGCTCTGGAGGCGAGGCCAGCACTGCCCTTTGTAAGTGGAGGGCTGCTTCATGGCTTTGTGAGCTGGTGACTGAGCCCTACACCCGAATCCGAAACCCTAAACCCCGAAGCCCTAAACTCTGAAATCCTAGACCTCTTTTACCTGGGTATACTTCACCCTTAATACCTTTTTTCCGGTTCGGGAAGTTTTAAGGCAAATGTCGGACCTATTTTCCTTTTTCCGTTTAAGGCAAGTTTTAAGGCAAATTCCGGGTTCTGCGTCGCCCGACCTTAATACCGTTTTTCCGTTTAAGGCAAATTTTATCGGGACCCGACCTTAATAGCTGCTATCGTTTAAAGGCAAGGTTTAAGGCAAATACCATTTTAGGGCTTGGTCTCGGCTGGCCTTTAGGGTTCAGAGCTTAGCCTGGGCCGGCCTTTAGGATTTAGGCCTTAGTTAGGGCTGGTCTTTAGGAAAAAGGCTCTGTCTGGCTTGGCCTTTAAGGTTTAAGGCTGAGCCTAGGCTGGCCTTTAGGTATATAACAGATAGGTCTCCTAGGCCTTAGGACTTAAGACTTAAGATTTAAGCTTTAGGGTTCAGTGCTAGGGTTTAGGGTTCCGTGCTAGGGTTTTGGGCTTTAGGGTTTAGGTAAGAGATCGGTGTCTTAGGCCTTAGGGTTTAGGATTTAGGCTTTGGGGTTGTCTGAAAGGTAGGGAATAGGAGCAACGCTTTGGGCTTTGATGGAAGTAAAATGGTTTCCTAATGATATGGGATTCTTGGGATGGGTGGGTTTTATAACAACCGTAAGTACAACTTTGCTGTAATACTTCACGGACCAGAGTTGCTGAACCCTAAACCTGAACCCCAAACCCTAAACCCTAAAACCCTAAACCTGAACCCTAACCCCCCTAAACCCTAAAACCATAAACCCTGAACCCTAAAACTCTAAACCTGAACCCTAAACCGCCTAAACCTTAACCCTAAACCCTGAACCCTAAAACCCTAAAGCTGAGCCCTAAACCTGTAGTTTTTCCATCCCGGAGGCTCCACCCATAAGACCGGATGTCGCCAAGGCCCAAGCGACCTCTCTTTGGGCCCGAAGCAAGACTCAGGATTTATACTCTTTCCAGAGCATACACCACAAAATTCGGGGTTTTTTTGGGGGGTTTAGGGTTAAGGTTTTGGGGTTAAGGGTTTGGGTTTTAGGATCGAGGCAATTACGGGGCCAGTAGCTGCCATTTTCGGAACTACAGGTCCAAAAGGCAACTTCGAGATTCCGTGCCCATGGTTTCGATGCCTAACAGAGGGCGTAAGTATGATTGTACTCGGGCCTTGGGGTATGATACTGCATCTATACAAACACTTCCACCTGCAAACTACAATGCACGTCGAATATTTGACCTAAGCAAGGGTTGAGGGTGTGTAGCAGACAAACTCGAAACCCTAAACTGTGGGAACTCGAGGTTTTGCGGCCCCTGACCTTGAACCGAAAGCTGTAAGCCTTCAGGACTTGTAACAAAAGAAATCTGCGAACC